CAGGTCGCCCTGGGAAGGACCGTCCGACCATGACAGACTGCCTTTATGTTAAACTCTATTGGAAGTGGTGTGAGAAAAAGAGCACAATCCTTAGATAGTTATTTAGTAATCTTTCATTTTTAAGGATTCAAGTCAACCATAAAACACTTGTAAAGTATCTAAACCCCCATGTTAAGAAAAGACCTGACATAGTGTATTGGAATATAGCTTAGACTGACTTCAACAAGTTATATCACTAAAACATAGAATCAGAAGGCATATTAGTCACTTTCAAGTATACTGAGGTTGTGCACTGCACTGGTATTCTGCAGAGGTCTAAGCCTTTGCAGTATTAAAAGTAGATATGGATACAGCCTAGGAAGTGATATAGATTGAGAAGCACAGTTGATAAATCAGGGGTGTCCAACTCCAGGCCTCAAGGGCTGGTGTCCTGCAGGTTTTAGATATCACACTGGGTCAACACACCTGAATCATATGATTAGTTCATTACCAGGCCTCTGGAGAAATTCAAGACATGTTGAGGAGGTAATTTAGCCATTTAAATCAGCAGTGTTGGATCAAGGACACATCTAAAACCTGCAGGACACTGGCCCTTGAGGCCTGGAGTTGGACACCCCTGTCATAAATGAAAGTGAAGAAAAGTCAGGGGCCCCGGCAATAGAAATTACAGAGATGAGGAGGGATAGGAAACAATGCAGAAGACTATGGCCCTTCACAGGAGGCATCACCAGCAAGTCAAGGAAGTTGCTGATGTCAATAAATCCTCTCCATGTATAGGGACTGGCTTAGCGATAAGATTTACAAGTTTATGTAAACAAAGTTGTTTGACAAGTCGTGGGCAAAGAGGACTGGAATGTACTGCAGCTTACTGTAACTGCCGCAGGACTGATGATAGCTTCAATCTCGTATGGTCCAATGTAACATCGAGCGAGCTTATGGGAAAGGTATTTCGAGCCCCAGCTCCGACAGTCTCTGTCATTGTGACATTGGGCAAGACACACTTCACACTTGCCTACTGGTGGTGGTCAGAGGGCCCTGTGGTGTCAGTGTCCGGCAGCCTCGCCTCTGTCAGTGCGCCCCGGGGCAGCTATGGCTACAATGTAGCTTGCCATCACCAGTGTGTGAATGTGTGTGTGTGAATGGGTGGATGACTGAATGTAGTGTAAAGCGCTTTGGGGTCCTTAGGAACTAAGTAAAGCGCTATACAAATACAGGCCATTTACCATTTTACCATTTACCATTTTAAAGGATGTTCAGCCCCCTCTTTCCATTTCCCTAGTGCCAACTTCACTGCTAACATCTCCCGGTTGGCCACATCAGGATGGAGTGGACATGGACCCAGTGCTCCTGGGGGGTTTTGAAGAAAGTCAGGATAACATCAAGACATACGAACACAAAGATGCTCAGAAAATCTCTTAGAATGTCATTCACTAATACCAGGAAAACCACTGGAGCGTTAATGAGGATAAAGTTGTATATTGAATGTGGTTTTCCATTCATCTCCGCTCCTGGATACAGACCAGATGATAGACAATGCGTAAGTCAAGTTTAGTAAAAATAGTTTCTATGTGCTTACAGATAATCTTGAAAAACTGATAAAATGATGAAAGCTGACCTGTTGATATGTTGTTGATGTTTGTGTAGGTAATTAATGACATGTTATAACATTTCTGATCCTTGATAAATCCGTTGTGAGGCAGTGGTTAAGACAATGCGAATCTAAAGAGGAACTTTAAGATAACACCTAATACTCCAGAGAACTGCCTGTTCAGAGTCACGTCTATAAAGCCTTTAATCCCCATGAATCTT